GAATATTTATATGTACTCCACGGTATAATTTGTCGGAATACCTGGCTATTGGTTTGTAATTGAGTTGGTCGACCATAAAATCGGGTTAATGTAGGATGAATAGGGAGGAAAAATAGGAGCAAGTAGGAGTGGCGGTGGGTGTGCTCTACCACATATGGCGAGCCCGCAACTCCGCCGTTTGGGACAAGGCGCTGTCGCAACCTGGACAGACTTGGAGACGCGCGAGGATGGCCGAGAACGCCTATCGGCAGGTCCACCAACGGAAGCAGCACTCGGCGTCCTCGACATTGCCAACACCCGTGACACACACCAGATTGAAATGCTTTGTGGACGCTGGCTACAAGCAAACCACGGGGGATGCAACGTACGGGGTGGTTCTTCTAGGCCACGATGGTTCTTTTGTTGCGGCAAAATGTGGCAAGTTGCCTCGGGCCTTTTCGCCGCTCATGGTAGAAGCGTTAGCTTGCAAGGAGGCTCTCTCATGGCTTAAGGAGCACAATACACTGGAGGTGGACCTTCTTACTGATTGCATGGAGCTACGGAACATCATACATTCAAGCTCAACAGCTACTTTATCCTATGTTGGAATGATAGCTGACCAATGCAGGACATCTTTGTCATCATTTAATTATTGTTCTTTAAATTACATCTCTAGAACATTAAATTTACCTGCGCATACTTTAGCTTTGTTAGCTTTTGATCAGGATCAATCTTTATACTGGGACTCTGTCCCTCCTAATTCTATTTCTATGCTCATTTAATAATACAGCACCATTATTTTCAAAAAGAAAAAGGGAGGAAAAATAATATTAAATTAATAGGGCCAAAGACCCTTAAAATGGTGTAATGGGCTACAAATGGAATAAATAAATAAGAGAATAAAACCATGCCCAAGTGACCGAACTTACAAGCCCAAACAAGGTGGATTGACCATAGACTAACAAAAGTTGGAGGTTCACGTGTAAGATGTACGGATTATCATTGTGGGCAAATTATGATGTGCATCCGTATGCACCCAGCATGGTGCACACGAATACAAAAATGACGTCGTTTTGCATAAAACGCGCGCCCTACTTAAAAAAAGAAATCAGTTTCGATTCCCAGCAACAACATTATGTTATTCATTTTTAGTTCATTCATTTTGAATTTTTTTAGTTATGAAATTCTGGAAGTGTAGTTATGCAATTCTGGAAGTGTAGTTATGCAATTATGGATGTGTAATTATGAAGTTATGGATGTGTAGTTATGCAATTCTGAAATTATAGTTATGCAATTCTGGAAGTGTAGTTATGCAATTCTGGAAGTGTAGTTATGCAATTCCGGATGTCTAGTTATGAAATTATGGAAGTGTAGTGAAATTATGGATGTGTAGTTATGCAATTCTGATTTTTTTTAATTTTTTTTTTAAAGTTAGACGCCAAAACGACACCGTTTTTGCATTCGCATGGTGTGGTGCATACGAATGCACAGCATAACGCTCCATCATTGTGTTACACAAACGGGCAATTTATATCCTGCACCACGGCGCGCGTTGCATTGTGTGCCCAGATGCAAAACGACGTCGTTTCAATTTTATTTATTTTTTTAAAATTTCGCTACACAGTGTTTAGCAGTTAATTTTCCTTTAAAAAAAAATCTCATGTTCAAAAATGTACATAATGTTATACTAGAATACACATAATTGTATACATGAATGCACATAATTATATAACAAAATACACATACTCTTTTTTAAAAGATAATACACATACTCTAACATAATACATAATAAACATAAACTTTTAACATAATACATATCAACTCTTAACACAATACACAAAAATTTCCTGATCCGGATGTACATAATTGTATAAAAAATATACATAATAAAAAATATACATAATCATGTCAACTTCCTACCGTGCCTCCCAAAACGACGTCGTTTTGGGAGGTGCGGGGCGCACAATGCACTGTGCGCCGTGGTGCACTAAAAAAACCCGTCTTTAATCACGGTTAATTGTATGTGAATTTTTCCCGAGTCATCCATCCTGATGGTCTGATGGTTTTAACTCTAGACGAGGATGGATAAAATTGCGTTACTACTACCAATGCTGTCTACAAAGAGATTTTCAATAATGTATAATTCAAGTTATTGATATTATGGTTTTTTATATACAAAGATGACAAAATTGCTATATATCTACATAGAAAATATATCTTCCGTATAAATAATTTCTATAACTGAGTTGCTAGACACCGAGCTAATTAGTCCAATTAATACAAATTCTAAACACTGATATATAAAATCTCTAAAGTTGCAGCACCGAATGCGTATATCTACACGTTAACTATTAATTGGGCAATTATTTACTCGAATTTAAGTATTGATAACATCAGAAAACATAATCGGTGCAACTCAATTCTTCAATTATATTATATAATATTCGATGTTATAATTTATACAATTGTATATCGATCTGTTATATTCGATATGTTATAATTTTTAAAATATTATAACAAATTCATTCCGTGCAACGCACGGGCGCAAATACTAGTATACATAATAAAAAATATACATAATCATGTCAATTTCCTACCGCGCCTCCCAAAACGACGTCGTTTTGGGAGGTGCGGGGCGCACAGTGCACTGTGCGCCGTGGTGCAGGGTATAACGATTGACACAAACGACACAACAATTCATAGGCATGCCGGATGCCCTGAATGTTCGTCCAAAAAATGGCAACATAGACAAGCTAAAGGTTCTAGTAGATTTTTTTGTTTTTTTTGAAAACCCAGGTTCTAGTAGATTTGACTAAGGCTCTGTTTGGCAAATCTAGCTGAAAAGCTATAAGCTAGGAGCTGAAAGCTGAAAAAGAGCTGAAAGCTGAAAAGCTATAAGCTCGGAGCTGAAAACTGAAGAGCTGTTAAGCTAGCTGTTATGATTGAAAGTGTTTGGTAAAATTAGCTTTTTGATAAGCTGATAAATGTTAAAAGACTAAAAATGACATCTTCATAAAATTTAAATTAGTTTGTTTACATATAAATTTAACATTTTGTCTTTAAAAAAAATTAACATTTTAAAATAAAACTATTAGCATAATCATGATATAACATCTCATAATGAAGTAGCAATATTGTTGCAAATCTCATTTGCGGTGAAAGTTGCGGATAAAGGAGAAGAGAAAAGGGTTTTAATTGGGAAGGTAAATTATGTCATTTTTTAAAAATAATAAGGATAAAGATGAAAATAATAATAATAATAATAATAATAATAATAATAATAATAATAATATTTGCAATGAAAGTTGCGGATAAAGAAGAAGAGAAAACGATTTTAATTGGGAAGGATAAATTATGTCATTTCTTTAAAATAATATGGATAAAGATGGAAAAAAAAAAAGTTAAGAAGCTAGGAGCTTATTTTGAAACACTACCTAAGGTAGCGTTCCAAAATAAGCTCTTATTTTAAGCTCGGAGCTTATTTTGAGAACATTACCAAACAGAGCTTATAGCTTATTAGTAGTTTAAAATAAGCTATAAGCTCCTAAATAAGCTCTGCCAAACAGAGCCTAAGACCATGTTGGTATGAAAATTGGCAATATAGACAAGCTAAGTAATATCTACCTATAGGATGTTCCGTTTAAGATATGCCCTTGAGAGATTTGTTGCTAAGATTGATTTAGAGGATATGCCGTTTAAGATTCACCTAGGAATGTTTGCCTCTACCGTTAAACCAAGATTTCTTCCAGTTAAAATTTATCTTCCGAAATAATTTTCCGAGATAGTACTTTCTATCATGTGTAATCTCTTCGATTTTGCAATCTGCTAAAATTAACCGAGGGTGATTAAATTCTCGTTAGATTCAAGAGTTATAATTTTTTTCAATTTTTAAATTTAGAATTTAATTTGTAATGTGTTATTTCAAATTTAAAGTGATAGTAATTAACAACATTCAAAATTTGAACACCATTGTGATCAATTATATCCTACAAATTAAATTGAAGTTTCAACACTCCTAGCTAACACCCTTAAACATAAACAAATCCGTTAAAATTAAAACGAAAATATGAATATCACGAGCTTTGAATTAATCTCATTTACCAAACTATTTTGGTGAATTTCTATTTGGAACATTTGTGAAAAGTTCGTACATTAAAAACTCTCTTTATAAACTCAGCAGGCCAGGCCAGCCGTAATTAAAATTCTGGTCTACATGCCCACAGATAGATAAACCAATAAATACGGCGGCCGTGATGTTAGACCCGTCAAAATATTATATATATATGCATGCGACTTTATTCTTTTCTATATATCCCAGGCCACTTTCAACTTTTTAATACAATTCAAAACTCAATTTTATATCTTCAAACTTTGAAATTTCTTCTCGATAACTTAAAAAAGTCATCTCTTCATGGCCAGCCGGCACTGTTACGTTGCTTGCTTTAAATACCTCTCTCACATGTCTAAATGAATCAGTCCACAATGTCTACAACAATTACTCAGAATATATTATTACCTTCTAAATGATAAAAACTGTTCAAACTTTCTTTTACTGCAAATTATATATCTAGCATTTGTAAATTATTGCAGATAAACAAAAATTATTTGAATAATAATTGTAAATTTTTCTGATTGTCATCACTTAATAAAAAAATTCAAACTTAAAGTTCACTGTTACTGATTGCCTTTAAATATTTTTCTTTTTTAAAGTCAATTTTGGCCGCCGGCTGGTAATGCAGGTATGTTAATATGTTATGCTTACCTTAACAATGATATCATGAGCACAGTCCAAACGTTTTATTTAATTTTTCTTGGCCTGCACGAAGTCTGTCACCCTAGAAGTTTCTTTCAGCCTAGTCAAAAGAGGCAAGCAAAAAATGTCATTCTTATACTATTTATCATGGTTCATGCACCTTACGATATCCTGCAGATTCACATTAGTAGAAATTATGAAATTTTTCAGTACCTGAAAGTGATTTTAAATCAAGTCGAAAGTCTGACCACTTTTGGTATAATTTCATAATTTACAGCAGTGTTCATGGTATAATTTGTCCAAAATATTAGTAAAGGGATGACCTTACCATATATACACAACCATAGTCACAACAAAGATCGATCAAGTAACCTTAGTTTCATCATGGATGAAAAAAATAGGCTGAGAGTTTTGATGTTTCCATGGTTAGCTGTGGGGCACATCTCACCGTTCTTTGAGTTAGCCAAGAAACTCGCCGACAGAGGTTTTTGCATCCACATATGTTCCACTCCAATCAACCTTAGTTTCATCAAAAACAAGATTCCCAGCCAATATTCTTCTTCAATCCAGTTGGTAGATCTTCATCTACCGGAATCGCCAGAACTCCCTCCTCACTATCACACCACCAATGGCCTCCCACTCCACCTCAATTTCACCCTCCAAAAAACCCTCAAAATGGCCAAACCCACTTTCTCCACCATCATGGAATCCCTAAAACCAAACTTACTCATCTACGATATTCTCATGCCGTGGGCCGCCGGAGTAGCGGACTCACACAACGTCCCGGCGGTCCGGTTCTTCACGTCCGGCGCCGCCGTGTGTACCTACTTCATCCACATGTTCAAACGCCCAAACGCCGAGTACCCTTTCCCGGAACTCTATCTACGCAGATACGAACAAGAGAGAGCTCAGAAGCTGATGGATGAAAGAAGGAGCGGAAGGAAAGATGCCGGCGGCGCCGCCGCCGAGGACGACGGTTCAGACTCCGCCGGAATTTTCCACAAAAACATGGTTGTGATAAGTAGCTCAACGGAAATAGAGAGGAAATATGTGGATTATCTCCGGGAGCTACTAAGCTGCAAGGTTTTAACTCTGGGCACGCTAGTTAAGCCGCCGATGAAAATGGCGGATGAATTTTCAGAGCTTATGGGGTGGTTAGGGGAGAAAGAAGAAAAATCAACGGTGTTTGCTTCTTTTGGGAGTGAGTATTTTCTATCAAAGGAGGATATGGAAGAGGTAGCTTATGGGTTAGAGCAAAGCCAAGCAAATTTCATATGGGTAGTTAGGTTTCCAAAAGGGAATGAAAACCCTAATCTTGAAGAGGCACTTCCAAAGGGTTTTCTAGAAAGGATTGGAGGGAGAGGGAGGGTGGTCGAAGGGTGGGCTCCGCAGGAAAAGATTCTGTCCCACCAGAACACAGGAGGGTTCATGAGTCACTGCGGCTGGAACTCGTTAGTAGAGAGCATCGAATATGGTGTCCCGATCATAGCCATGCCCATGCATCTTGACCAGCCTGTGAATGCTAAGTTGATGGTGGCGATTGGCGTAGGGGTTGAGGTCTTGAGGGATGATGGTGGGAAGCTTCATAGGGAAGATGTGGGTAGAGTTGTTAAGGATGTAATTAAGGGAAAATTAGGGGAGAATGTTAGGAATAATGTGAAAATTGTGGGTGAAAATGTGAAACTCAAGAGTATTCAAGAGATGGACGAGGCTGCTGTGGTGTTAGCGCAACTTTGTGATGTTTAAATTTTGACAAATTCGCAAATTACATTTTAAGCTCTTTTATTTTATAATTTTCACTGTATTGTTGAAGCATATTCCGAATTTACAATTATTATTTGAGTAATACTATGCATATTTCTAATTTTTATTATATGTCTGATTCATTATTTAAAAGAAAAAATATAATATTTTGATAAAAAAAAAAAAGTAATACTTTTACATCAAATGTAAAAATATTACTTCTATTCTTAAAAGTATTATGTTTTTCCTTGTATTCTTAATTAATATTAAATTTGCTAGTATAAGTATTACATTTACATATTAACTAGATGAGACTCTTGTTTCACATATAAGAATCCCAGAGACGGTTCGACAATATATAACAGACACTACTGGAAATTATGAAATTTCCAACCACCCGAAAGTGATTTTAAATCAAGTCGAAAGTCTTGTTCCGACCACTTTTGGTATCCGGAAAAATCTTTGTTGCTATTTCCGACCACTTTTTGATATCAACTTGATTTAAGATCATTTTCAGGTGCCCGGAAATTTCATAATTTCCAGTAGTAAGAAATAAATAAATAAATAAAGCCTATATATCATTTTCTTTAAATTAATCAAGTAAGAACCTGCCAAGTCTCTAACCTTTCTCAATCATGACATAATTCTAAGAGCATCCTTAATAGTATAATCTTTTTTTACGAATTTTGAGGAGTTTTTGTAAGTGTTATTAGGAAAGAGATAAAAACGTGGGAGAAAAAAGAAAAAGAAAAAGAAAAATAAATTATGACAACATTAAAAGTTGTTTAAAAGTCAGTGGCGGCCACTCTGACGCGTCCTAGCTAGCGCGTGAGAAACATGCGCCTGTTAAGACGGAAGTGCACGCTGTTGTTTTTTTTTTTTTTTTTTTTTAATTAAAAAAAATCTCTGACAAAATCTTGTGTTTTGCAGGGAGAAAAACTAAGCTAAAAACTACCTTCCACATCTAAAAACCTAACATCAAATTTTTTGGGCTGACAAAAACCAAAAAATATCCACGGCTAAGGATGCTCTAAGTTTTTAATATTTGCGCCAATTGCGCGTTAGGTTGTTGAAACTGCTAGACAAAGAATACATAGAAAGCACATTTAATTTGCGTCATTAAAAATTTGTAACAAATGTCAACAACTGTCATATCAATGGTGTGATTCAATCAACTTATTTGATAAAGTCACATAAGAATTGTCCTTTTTCTTTAAAAAAAAAAAATGTTGAGGAAACCCATAACCTTTTGGGGTGTAAATAAATTTCAAATTATAATCTTAGCGGGCAAAGAATTACAAGGAAATAGCGGGCAAAGAATTACAAGGAAAATTCATAATCCTTTCAAGTGTAAATAAATCTCACTTTATAATCCTAGTTGGTAAAGAACCACAAAAAAAAAAAAAAAAAAAAAAAAAAAAAAAAAAAAGTAAATCAACTTACATTACCCATAACTGACCGATTCAAACCAATGGGATAATGATTCGAACTCGTGATCTTGTGGTTACAAGTGCGAATCTCTTGCCTGATTGGAATACCCCCAGAATTGTCTTTTATTATAGGGGGTTGGTTTCCTATGAACCTTCTCACGAATCTTAATTCGAGAGACATGTTGGATTTAATAAAAATGAGTCATAACAGAATTGCAAATATACTCAATTTTAAGTCTTACATATAAGGCATTATGGTCGAACGACATAGTTGTGGCCCCTCAATTGAGACGATGAGTAGGTTGAGAAAGCAACAGAATACTTTGTAAAATGTCATTATATAACACAAAGTTGCATAATATTGAAATCCGTGAGACGATCTCACAAGAGAATTTGCCTTTTATTATATAATATAATAGTAAATAGTAATTTGTGTAGTGTTGAGTGCTACAAGATTTATTTATAATTTAACTAGGACACAAAATTTTTTTTTAAAGTTTAATAATAAAATGTAACTGATATTGTAAGAATATTAATAACTATAATTATAATTGCAATGAGGATATCATTTATTTAAGTTCATTTCGAGCATTTACCATTGATCATGAGCGATTGTAAATTTAAGATAAAAGTTGATTTTTTTTTTCCTAATTTGGATACATCGATCATAACAAAGGTTAAGCTGTTTGGAACAGAATCTAAGGTGTGTTTTGTTCATAATTAAGCTATCAGGAATGAAAATCAACTCATTATTATTGTTTGATTGACAAGTTTCTTAGAACACTACTATGTGATTTAATTATCCCTTTAATAAGAAAATTCAATCCTTAATAAAATAAGAATTCATTCCATTATTCCCTATCATAATTTGTAATTTGATTTTTAAGTTTGGATTAGTGCTTTTAGATTTTTGTTTTTATTTTTTATTCATATTGGTGCTTTAGATGTCTTTAATTCTTTATATTAGACATTTATTCCTATTGAAGGATCTTACATAACCAAACAACAATATCGATAATCATTCCATTTCCACCCTAACACCAAACATGATTCTTTATATTAGACATTTATTCCCATTGAAGGATCTTACATAACCAAACAACAATATCGATAATCATTCCATTTCCACCCTAACACCAAACATGTAAAATACTTTCGCCAAAACTCTTTGTTTCTGATTCTGATTTTCATGTGCAAACCAAACACATAAACTTTGGAGAATAGTCGGAGTTTAGTTTACTCCAACATTATCAACAAAACCCAGTAGCCATTAACTCGATCTCATTATCTTGAATCAAAATCCCTGCTGCTTTGGGGGACTAAATACTTGGCTTTTTTACCTATTGATATTGGAGGTTTATTCCACTTTAAGAAACGATTTTCATAACTCGGAGTGCAATTCCTGGATTAAGAGCTTTAGAGAAGGTTACGTGAATCTCCGCTCCTCCCTCACAGCTCACACTATATTTTTTCAGCAATGAGCTTCTTTTTCATTGCTTCGACTCTAATTTCCAATCTTAACGAGCTTAGCTTCACAGTTTAATTTTGTAATCCAGCTTGAATCAAACTCAGAAGTATCCAAACTCGCAAAGAGAATAAAATTTTCAAAAATAAAAAATATAATAAAAATTGCACGCTCAATGTAATAAAATAACAAATACGGAGTAGTCCGCAATTTATTATGTACTGGTAATGTATACAGAGCCAAAAGAATCAACTAATACATCCATATTTCCAGGAGGCCAGGACCAAAAACACAACCATCGAGTAACTCGATCAGAAGAATGAATACAAGTAATCAGCGGCTCATAAAGGCAATAGCAGAGAAGAGAAGAGAAGAGAGGCAGCAATCAACGCACCGGAGAGCGGTAGGGCAATCGCCGCCGATCCGGCATCCGGTGCAGGCGCCGGAGCAGATCCGATCCCCTGAGCAGCAGCGACAGCAGAAAAGATGGCGAGAACAGCTACAATCAGAAATGCCTTCATGATGCCAAGTTGAGCCGCCATTGCTTCAATTCACGACTTCAATCGGAAAGTATATACTACGAATCGCTAGATGGAGTACAATGAGAATGCAAACTGGTGAGATTGTTTTTGAGTACTGATTTCATAGGAGAAGAGTTATTGTGGTTATATATATAACGGGTTTGGGAAGAGAAGGGGATGATTGACAGCTGTTGACAGAGCGTAGCTAGCATATTGATTGAATTATTGTTAACCTACCACGACAGAAGATCAGAGCAACAAACTAAAAATGTGACGGTATTGCAGATGCCGCCGTAATTTATAATTTTCAAATATGGAATGTCGGTCGGACCTCGTTCTCAGATACGTTGCACTTGGGACATTGTATAATTTTATGCATTTCAAAGCAACATTATCAGTTGAGAAGAATGTGGGGAGAATTCACCAGCGGTAGTGTGGGAGCAACCTCTCAAAGTGAGGGGGACTTCTTGTGCGCAGTGAGCACCGGTCTAGCCTCTATGGTTCATGTTTAGTTGAGTCACCATGATTTACATCCTCCCAAATGCTCTGTCGGGCCGGGGTGTGGGGGCCCTTAGGTTGGGGTTCAGCCTTTTGGAATAAGAATGTGGAGAGAATGTAAGAGTTATTAGGAAAGAGAATGTAGGAGAGGAGAGAAAAAAAAAAAGGAAAATTAAATTTAAAATAAAAAAAAAATTATGATTATCAGGCGCGCTAGCGGGCACGTACAGCTCCCGCGCCCGTGCCCAGCTCACCATTGGTGTAAATATTGGTGGGTCCCACCAATTCTGAATTATTCCAATTCCTTGTAAGAGAGTTCTTTTTTAATTATTTCCTTCCCACATTAGCTTTGCTCCTTGTTTGGGAAGAATGCATTCTGAAATAACTTGAAATTGTCCACTATAGTGGATGCTTTTAAATTTTGTACAAACACATATAAAAATGTAATGAATTTACTGTATATACCAGAAAGTTAGTGGGGTATAAATTATTTTATTATTGTATGTGAATAATATTAGAGTTAATACTTAATATAGTCCTTGATTATAGTGATTTATTCGATTTAATTCTAAGTGATTTTTTGTGCTCAATTTATTTCTAGACTTTGATGATTTTATGCAATTTAATTGGATCAGTTTGGTAATTTTTCATTCCTCAACCCTTTTGATCAGCTTTCTTCTTCTTCCCCTTATTAGAAGGAAGCTAAGCAAAAGAGATGAGAGATGAGATATTACCATAATGCTGGTCATACATTTTACAATAAATAAATGAAATTGTTAACAGTGGATTACATTATATAAAACTATCAGAGTCGATGATCTAATTAAGAATAAAAAGTCATTTAAGATTAAATCAGATAAAATCACTCCAATTCAAGAACGGAGGTGATTTTTTCTAATCTTGTACGGAGTATGTATTGGAGTGTTTATGTATGTTATGCTTTAGTCAAGGAGGGGTCATGTATATTAGAAGGTGTAGTATATGCATAAATTAAAAAGGATATACTTACACAGCCCCCATGCATGTTAATTTACAATGTTATTTTAATTACAAAAGTTTGAATTGGGTATTTTTAATTACCAAATTTTAAAGATTAAAATATAATTGTCATAGTTTTTTTTTTTTCCCCGATAGGCCTAAATATATTATGCATTGTGGAATTAGTATTAGTATAGGATTTTAAAAGTAAATTATGAAATTCAATTCGCTGTTTAAA